CCTTTAGTATATTAAGCAGGCACATTTTTCCAAGAAAGAAACAAGCTGGCCATCAATAAACCCTCATACTCTTTACACAGTTAACATTTCAATTTCTCCATGCACATAAAAGCATAACCAGCTGAAATAATATTTAATAAAAATTGTAATGCTCTATCTTTTGCTTTCTATCTTTAATGACCACCTTATTTCACGTCTTTTTCTTTCTAAAGTCTTAAGTTATTTTCAAGCATAAATATATTTATTTGTGCACTGTAAACATAAACAAACATATGCATAGACCAATAACCTTACAGTTTGTTTCTTTATCTGTCCATTTGGTCACCTGGACCTTGTTTGCTTGTACCCAAATCTCCAAGATGCACAGGATTTACAACCTCTTGACTTCAACGCCTCTGTTTACTTCTGATTTATGCTAGCATACCTGATGAATCCTCAGTATATGTGTGTAACATATGCAGAAAGAATTGCAAAAAAAAAAAAAAAGTGACTAAATTTCAGCAGAGAAACACACATTTGCATGTGTGGAGGCAGATACCTTCTTGGAGAGAGGCAACATAACACACACCAGACTGCACATTCAGGGGCTGATCCTGTCAACCTATCCCATACTTAGAGGTCTGCTTTTTATAAACTTGATCCCTGTAATAGCTCCCACCAATTTTAAATAACCAGAAAAGGAAATTTCCAGCTTACGACCGGGACACAAAGTGCTACCTTCTATTCAAGGAAAGACCTAAGACGGGGTTTTAGAGTCGAAACTTTTTCGTATCTAGAAAAGACCTTCTTATTTGTTGTTATAGTTCCTGGGAGGGAGAAAAGGTTCATGATATATACATAACATTAATTATGCAGATAAATAGTTTACATCAGGATTATTGGTACCATGTATGTGAAACAAATACAATGAAAGAGATTTTTAGGTCACGTAGAAAATCCATTGAATGCACGTATATCTCCCCTGGTTCTGCAACTGCTATTTGCTTTCCTCTTCGACTGGAAAACTGAATATTTGAATAAAGGTTCTCAACTGGTGCGTGGAATTCTTGCCATTTGATAGCAGAAGATATACCACAGTCTTTCAGTAAAAAATATTTAGCTGAGAAAAGCAGTGATAGAAATAGTAGTATGCCTTTCTACAAAAGGTAACTTCACAGGATCATCACACAACTGAGTAGTTTGGGATGGGCACTGGGACAAAAAGTAAGCTCTTTCAAGAGACATGCTCCCTCTCCATATTTCATTATGACAACTCCTGGTGACTATTTATTGTTTTTTTTTTTTTTTTTTTTAGTTTTTTCCAGCTGTTCATCCATACGCTACAGCAGATTCTCACTCCATTAGTTTTATATAATAGTTTATAGTCCATCTACCAAGCTTCGTATAGTCCTCCCAAAGAAAGACTACTCAAATAAATATATTGCTATTTTGGCACACCTAAAACTACAAAAAAAATGGCTTTAGTTCATTTTAAATAAAACAAAAGAGTGGCTATCTCTGTAAAGTTAGCACTGGAGTTCACAAGTACCTACCACGCAGTAACAACTGTGCTCAGCCTTGGTTGGTGCTCAGCACCCTGCACAGCATTTAGCACTGGCAGATCTGATATCATTATAAGATGAGCTTATAGCATGGGACATCGATTCAGCAGTCAACTAACAAGCTTCTTAGCTGTTAGCACTTCATTTCAGGACCTTGTATTGCTCCTACAGCACTAATATTGCCAACAGCTACGGTGACTCACTTTCCTGTAGGCATCAATAAAGTTGTTAAATGCTGCAGGAGGAATACAACAATCAGGAAGAAGGCTGGCTGAACCCTGCCAAAACTGTTTCATGGCAACGTCATAAAACTCCTACAGCAGTATTCATTCACAGAAGAGTTCTTCCCACATGTATCTCCTTTCTCATACTCTGATACCTCAACCGAGCGTCCAATTGTCCATTCCTAACACACAGCTTCAAAGAAGAGCCTCTGTCTTTGTCACTTTTTCCTTTGGCCTCTCATCCTCTTCTGTCTTCCCTAAACTCACAGCCCTGTAATTACTAGTGAATTGCTGTGTGCCTACAACAGTTACGTTACCCAACTATCACATATTGTATGTACGCTGCACTGCAACTACGCCTCTACACATACTTAAGATTTGCTGAAGGTTCCTAAAGATCATTCTGTTGTATATGAGCTGCAGATTGTCAGAGCATATTAAAGTGAAAGATTTTTTTAAGATATGTCAGTTCATAAAAGCTAAGACGTGTCATGGGTACGTACTGACTGACGAGATTTCTACTGCGAAAGTCAAGAGGCCATCTAGCGCTGAAAATCTTATCAGAAATCTTACATGAACCATCTGAAAATAGATGTTTCTATATATTTCTGCTCCCCATATATATTTAGAAGGTGTTCTTTACACTCCAAACATAGAATGAAAAAACACTTTGGGATCTTTACAATAAAATTTAACTGTTGTTGTTCAGTAATCTCTGTGACACTATCTGGGGCTACACCAGAAAATACAACTGAAATAAGACGACAGAGAAGGTCTCCATCCCCAATCCAAAACCAATGAGCCTTAGCATAACTAACTTACAACCGGAAGGACACCACTAGAATATTCAGATTCATAAACCAATGCATTTCTAATCAACTTTCAGCATGTGGCTCTGGTAACAAGTCTCAATTATTTGCTTTTACAGTTACACACTCAGAAAATCTACGTGCACTGAATGCTTAGTTTGTGAAATTAAGCAGTTAAGTGCCAGAATTTCATCTGTGCTACTTTAATTTACAACTTTTTGCATATGTTATGATAAAAATTACGCTTACTCTTTTTACAGACAAACTTTTTAACTGTAATGCTTCTTTTAAATTGCTATACTAATGGAAAAACTTCAATTCAAATGAATATAAATTCAGATTAGTCACTAAATGCTTCTTATGTACTGCATCCTCCAAGCTGAAGGACCATCTGTGTCAAAATTTGGGAAGACAAATACATTTATTAAGACACTGGCCTGGCAAAACAGGCAACTCATGGTGGAACTCCAGTGTAAAAAGGTAGCATACATGAGGTGGAAGCAAGAACAGGCTACCAGCAAGGAATTTAGAAACATTGCTTGGGCTTGTAAGAATGGTGTCGAGATTCACCAAAGTTCAGCTGGAGGTGAGACTTGCAAGGCACATCACAGACAACAAAAGGAGTTTCTACTGCTACAAGAGTAACAAAAAGTTGAACAAGGAAAACGGGAGCGCTGCTGAATTGGGCAGGTGATAAGAGTGCCAACAGACACAGATAAGGCTGAGGTACTCAATACCTTCTCTGTCTTAATCTTCACCAACAAGGTCGCCCAGACCACTCACAATGCGTTTAGCGCAGGGGTTCAAGAACTACCAGCAGTGACGGTGTACTGAGTCAGGGATGACTTACAAGAACTCAGTCCATACAAATCCATGGGGTCAGACAGGCTCCATCCATGGGTTTTGAGAGAAGTGGACACTCACCATCTCCGCAGAGTCACAGAGATTGGGGAAGGTCCTCAGTGACCGCAGTAAAATAAATGTGGGAACTGCACACCAGTCAGTTTCACTTCAGTTCCTGAGAAAGTCATGGAGTTGGTCCTCTTGGAATGCACTTTTACGGACACATGAAGAAGATGACTGAGAACAGTCAGCATGGATTTACCAAGGGTAAATCATGCCTGACCAACCTGACTACCTTCTATAATAAAGTGACAGGATTTGTTGATGAGGGGAGCAGGGGATGTCATTTATCTCAACTTCAGTGAGATGTTCAACACTGTCTCCCAAGATATTCTCGTATGCAAGGTTATGTGGTTACAGTCTGTCTGTAAAGGTGGACAACCAGAGGTGTAAAAAGTTAGCTGGATGATAGGGCTCAGGGAGTAAATGTTTCACGGGCTATACTCTACCTCCACACTGGTAACAAGTGGAATATCACAGGGCTGGATCCCAGAACCTGTCCTGTGTAACATCTTCATCAACGGCCTGGAGGAGGTGACAGAGCGCACTGATCAACTGGCTAGGGAGCAGCTCCGCTGAAAGGACCTGGGTGTCCTGGCAGACAGCAAGCTGAACATGAGACAGCAAGCACGAGTGTGGCCTTGCAGCAGAGAAGGCCAACAGCATCGGCTGTATTAAAAGGAGCATGGTCTGTTCAAGGACACAGGATCAAGGGGAGAGATCATAAAATCACTAGAAGCATCTGGAATACTGCATCCACTTTTGGGCCTCCCTCTACAAGAAGAG